AACCTACTAGAAATAGTATAATATAGCTTTATTTTAAAAAATACCAACCCAGAAAAAAACGGATTTTTAATTCAAATTCAGCCTGAAAAAACGGAAAATTTAATAAAAATGAGCCCGGAGTACAACCCAGACTTTTTTTAAATCAACCCGAAATTCCAATCATTTGTAGGGGGCATAATGGGACAGGGGCGAAATGGAAGAGGGGCGAAATTTGAAAGGGGCAATTTGCAAAATTGGAAGGGGCTAAATGGGAATGAACGAGGGGCGAAAAGGAAAAGGGGCCAATTGGGAAGGGGCGAAATGGGAATAAATGAGGGGCGAAATGGGAAGGGGCCAATTGGGAAGAGGCGAAATGGGAAGCGGCGAAGGGGGAATGAGGGGCGAAATGGGAAGGGGGCATACTGGGATGAGGCGAAATGGAAGAGGGGCGAAATGGGAAAGAGGCAATTTGGGAAAGGGCCAAAATGGGAAGGGTGAAATGGGTAGCTAGGGGCGAAATGGGAAGGAGCTAAGTGGGAAGGGGCGAAATGGGAAGACACCGAGTTTTTCGTCAATTTTTCCGGATTGTTCAATCATATTTCCGGCTGTTAAAAAAATTGTCGTTGTTTTCTGGGTTTACAATTTCTATCTGGGGCAGCTACAATGCAAATGGCGCTTGCGCCCGGTCATGTACTAAATCAAGTAAAATGAATAAGATAAGCGAATATTGTATTTAAAACATATCGGAATTCCTGAACCTTAGCATGTCAAGTGGCACGGATCGGAATCACAAAACAATATTCCCCCAGCTCTTGGCGCTTTATAGAATAGCACTAAGAACGGAAAAATTATGTCATGGGAGGTGATATCATTGGGAGAAATACACAAAAGCATTTATTGTAGGAAAAACAGCTTCTTTCAGACTGAAAATGTTTCTGTTCAAAATTTCAGTTTGGAAGGAATAATGATTTTCAGTGAAAGCGATGAGGCTACTATTGAAAACTGTTTCAAGGTGGAAGGATGGGGTGGAAGATGAACTGCAAAGGAATTAAGGACAAAAGTTGGATGCATATAACGGTAAATATACTTATGAACAAAAAGTTACAGCCATAATGCATTAAAGAACGGGAAAATTATGTCATGGGAGGTGATATCATTGGGAGAAATACACAAAAGCATTTATTGTAGGAAAAACAGCTTCTTTCAGATTGAACACTATATAAAATAGAGAATATTGCTTTGTTATAAGAAGTGTCTATATGTAAGAATCTCTTGTAATGTGCAGTAATCAGCAAAAATACTCAGCACATATAAACAGAGACATTACAGAGACAATACTCGCTGCATATATGGAACACTCTGTATATTCAGGTATTGCTCCTCTTTATTTGTAGAACAGCACAAATAAGCACTGCTTATACATGGAGTTAAGAATACTCAAATATATGCAAACGCAATACTCTGTAAGTGTGCAATATATTCACACATATTATAATTGCTTCTTTCTGACTAAGCTATTTCTAAGTAACACTGCTCATGTTATAACTGAGCATACAAATAAAAAACAGACTATTTGTGCGTATTTTTCATTTAAGCATGATAAAACAATACAACTAAAGAATGTAAGTACTGTCCGTAGTTCTTAATGAATATGTCTTTACCTGTGTACAATACTTTAGTAAGCAACTAGATGGATTTTGAAATGATCTATTTTTACTATAATTATGATTTTGTACACCTTTACGGTCGCACCAGAAAAGAGAGATCTTCCTTGTACTTATCAAAAGTTGCTAATAAAAATAGCTTGTGCAAACACGTGTTTTTTTATAGATAGTGGAGAGGTTAAGCTACCGTATAAAATCCAAAACGCAACTTAAACGTATCAATCGGCCCTATACAAATACATGTAGAGTTCACACATAAATAGCCGTTCAGCTCTAGTGTTTGTTTAGACTACACAATAGCTTGTAATGATTACATAGTATCCCATTGATGAAGTTCAATATGACCGTACAAATCCT